CATAGATTCAAGGTTATTAGGGTTGCATGTACACTTAGGAAGTGTTAGAATGCTCAAAAACCCATCACAATCATCCTCGGGATGGAATACTCTTGGCCCACAACCATCGAGTTGGAATGCCCCGGTCTGTTGGCTCATGCACAAAGCACAAAAGCCTTAACCACCAATCAAACATATGCACATATATCAGATAATCACATAATAGTCTATAGAGAGTCAAACCGATCTACAGATCACTAAGCATAACAACATCCTATCTACCAGGATACCGATCTAACATATCATAACCACATAGAAACATCCTATCTACCAGGATACCGATCTAACAGATCATAACAATAAGAAAGAAGGGTAAAAATCCAAAGGGCCGGCCTTGGTGCCTTAGACTCTGTTAGTATAGTGAGGAAAACTCACCTCGAACGGCAGATAAATCCCACAATTGCTACAACTGCTACGAACCGGCTTCCACAAACTAAACCAAACAACCAAACCATTCTTTAATAATTACCCATGGTAAAACCACCAAGCACTAATCCCATAAATGGTCCAACTAACCAAGCCCATAATTGGCCTAAGCCCATTGGGCCTATACAAGGCCTAACTACATTGGGCCCACTAAGGCCCAATTCATCGTCCACGGCCCATTAGGGTAAGACCAACAAGGCAAGCCCAACCAGAAGTCCATTATTCTAAAATCCTTAGTCAATTATGAGCCCAAACCAAAGGATGAGTCCAATACCAAGCTAGCCCACAATCAAAGAGTCCAAAACTTGCACATGTGATACTCACGTCGTGAGCACCTTAGGCTTACATCGTGAGGTCGTGAATTGGCCCAGAAACTTCCTCGAATACGTGCTCACGTCGTGAGGCTTCATTCCTCACGTCGTGAGTCCGGATCTGACCAAAAATGAGCATTAAGATCCTAATCAATTAAGCCTTAACATGGGACAGTCTAGAGGGTCTTCCTTAACCCCAAGGACCATAAAAATCGAAGCTTTTTAGTCACATATGTCTAATACATGACTTAAACACTATTAGGTCAAAAGATGGGTATAACATCAAGATTCAAACTTGGAGCCCATAACTTGCACCAAAATCCAGATCGAAGGGTTCTAGCATAACAAATGACTCAATGGTCCATAAAGTTGCCAACTTTATGGACCTCATGCATGATAATCCAAGATCCATGCAAGGAAGGTAACCATAATCTAGATCTAGCAAGATTAGAAGAGAAAGCTGGGATCTTTGAGACTTACAAGGGCTTATAAACTCAGAAGTGCTATAAGGATGAGCTTATTTTGCCAAAAAGAAATCACCACAAGAGCTTCTTCTTCTTCTTCTTCTTCTTCTTCTTCATGGGAATCAAAACACCATTAAAACTCCAATACCACAAACAATGGCTCAAGGACTTCAATGGAGGCTTAGATTAGGGTTTCTAGAGGTCTTGGAGGTGAGGGAGGCTAAGTAGAAGTAACCCTAATCATCTCATACCTTTAAATACCCAAAAATAAGGGTTTTGGAGCATCAGGTGCGTCTCACGTTGTGAGCACTTCATGCTCACGTCGTGAGCTTTAAATAAGCTTGGTCAACAAGTCAACGATCACTCACCCGAGCCACTCCAACTTCAAACGGCCATAACTTATTCGTTTCAACTCCGTTTTTGATGTTCTTTATCCACAAAAAGGTGGCGAGAAGCCCTAAACTTATAGAAACTCACCATGGCCTTAAAACTTCCCGAACAAAACTCAAAATCCATAAAAGGCCGAGTTATCAAATTACGGTTATACCCTTGGGCTCCGAAACGCCATCGAACACTTGGACTATTTAGACTTCAACACCGTCATCCAAAAAGGGCTAACTCCTTTCTTCCCCAAGGACTAAAATGATCTAATTACAACCCAGAGGATGAATTTGGAAATACATGAAAACCGGGGTCTTACAGTATGTGGTTTCTTGGGGAACTCACTAAGCTTTGTATTTACGATTTTTAGTTTATGTTTCAGGTGTTTCTGGTTCCAAAGGTAGGAGCTCGGGATGATTGCAGGGCACACACCACCTTGCTCTGCGTTTTGTGATTTACTCTGATTTTATAGGTCGATTGATACACTTGTTTTATTGGGATTGTATTGATGATGTTTTTGGAATACTGATTTTATTAAATAAAAATGAAACTTTTGGGTCTTTTATTTAGGACGTTACAATATTCGTAGTATTTGTTAGTTAAAGTTTATTAATTTAAGTTCTTCTGAACTTGGAAAATCAGATAAAAAACCTCCCAATTTACAATTTTTATTTGGTTTATATAGTAGCAGTATTTTCATATTAAAATAAATGTTCCCTAAGTTCGACACCCTACTTATTTACTATTCTATTACGCGACTAGATACACTGCATATTTGTGTTTTAGTTGGTTAAATTAGATATGATTATAAATTTAAAGCTTTTAGTGCAATTAAAACACATCACCTATGTAAAAGAGAACATATATATGTTGGTGAGTTTCATTGTTACCGACTGTTTACTAGGACTAACGCGAGTGTCGATGATGAGTTAAACTATTATCTAATAAAAATTAAGTGTTACGAAATAGTTAATTATATACAAGACAACTTTGATATCGAAAATGATGAACTGTGGGGGTCAAAGGGGGCGCACCCTTTTATTAAATTTATAAAAAAAGTAAGAAATTAAACAAGATATTTACTAATAATATCATAATCTTTTAAGTAATAGTTAAATTTGTAAAAATAAGAATGTGAAAATACTTTAAAGAGTAAATTATTTAAATTGTCCTTGTGGTTTAGACAAATTGACATGTTTGGTCCATAACTTTTGTTTTGTACTTGAATCATCCTCCAATTTTTATTTTTTTTGTTACTGCTTCATCCCTCAGTCTGTTTTTCATCAAATGTGCATGTTAACGAGCCTCACGTGTCTGGCACACTAGGGGTAAATGTGTCAAAACACTCGAAAACCGTTATGAACAACTATATTACATGCAAGTATGTCTCTCTATTTTCTTTATCAAGTTGCCTTATTCTCTCATCCATGTTTTTTCACAAATCCCCTCAAATGTTTAATAAACTTCTACCAACTTTGTTTGCACACAAATGCCCTCAAATGGTTAACGTCCTCGTCACGGGTTAATGCAAATAACCCAAAATCCAAATCTGCAAATGGTCTTTTAATGTCTAATTGTGCACTAAGGGTTAAGGGGGTGTTTGAGATTGTTTTTTGAACTCCAAAAATATTTTTGAGATAAAATGTTTATTCACTTATGGTGGTGACACAACGAGTTTTTTTTTAAGTGGTCGCATTAGTTTTTGTGTTGGAAAAAGTCAATAAGTCAATATGTTAAAAAAGTGTTTGGATTAAAATCTCACTTTTCAATCTATTTTGGTTAAAAAGCTAAAAGGAATTTCAAAAAACCAACTTTTACAACTTTTTAAAATCTCATTTTTAAAACCGATGAAAATATATTTTGAAAAGTGCTTTTGAGTTTGCCAAATATTTTTTTTGGATTAGCTTTTCAAAAAAATAATACATCGATAAGTTATTTTGAAAAACAATCCCAAACATCGCCTAAATATTTCTTTATTCCTAAACACCCCCTAAATATTTGCTTCCGGTTGAACTCTCTACCGTAGAATAGTCTGATTGAGGAGATAGTGGTGTGACCACATGTAATGGAAAAAACTTAAATTTTGTTTCTAAAACTTGTTGATTTTGATTAAACTTTTCAATATTTTTAAATGGTTACCGTAATGTCTCCTGCTGTCGATTTCTGACACATCAATGCTGATTTTCCATCCCACCATTGTTGCATTGAAGAAGGTACGAAACAATTAGTGTTTTCGCTCGTCAATTTGTGAGAGTGTGAGTATTTGGGATGTAAACGAGAGAAATAGTCGTAGATGAGGGAATAACCTTTGGCTTTCCCTGGTAGCATCATGAATAAAAAGACCAAGCATTGAAGACTCATTAACAAACACATTTGACTGACAAAGCATGCAACAAAAACAAACGGAAGATGGTCCGAGTGCAAAATAAAAGTTAGGGACCAAACAAACAACTTTACCCAAATCACATGGATGGTTATAGTAAATAACATTTACTGTCCTTTAAAGTGATTACAATCTTAATTAGGGATGAGCTTAGTTTCGAAACCAAACCGAACCGAACCAAACCAAAGCAAACCCAAAAGCCAAAAAAACCAAATTTATAAATATGAAAAAACAGAATTGAATCAGGGTTCCAACAGTTTCTGATTCGGATATGATTCTGAGTGAAAATTTATTCACCCTTGTCGCAAGGGTGTTTAGCAAAAAAGTTTATGGCTTATTAGCTTATAACTTATTAAGTTATTAACTTGTCTTCCTATTCTAATTTTAATCAATGAATAAGTTTATTAACCTATTGACAAGTGTCACAATATTAAGAATCTTCATTAATATTGTATGCCACCTATCATGCTACATGTCAACCTATTAATTTTTCATTTTAAATTTTAAATTTTCTACTCTAATTACATTAAATTAATAATTAATAATTGATTCTTTGTTTCAAATTTCAAATTTTAAATTTCACGCTCTAATTACATTAAATTAATAACATTAGAATAAAAAATAAAATAAAAGTAATATATATATTAGAAGGTGATATATAATTTTATGTGTTTATTTAAATCAACGGTTATAATTTTATATAACTAAAAAACTATCTTTGATTTTATAACCGTGGTTCTCAAGGGTTATAAACTAGTAAGTTAAGAAGTTAAAGGGAGGAAAAATGATTTATTAGGAGTTTGCCATCGTCATAAAGTATTTTTATGAAAACATTTTTTTTAACTTATAACCATGTAAATGTAATAAATCGAAATTAATAAGTTCTAAGCTATTAAGGCATATGTTTTTATTTATTTATTTTATGCCAAACATCCCCTTAATAAACATATCGCCCGTTGAGCAGCGGCCGGCGTCTCTTTTACCACCAAGCTGACAAGAGGCGACCCACCCAATCTGCCGCCGCAATAACTCCGTTATCACCACCTGTACTGTACCCCAGCAACGAACCCGTTCAGCCTAGTTCTCGAATCCATCGTAGTTGTACATCCTCTACTTCCTCAGTCAAAAAGATTCTATCAGAATGCGTGGCGGCGCTGATTATCAATCCCTTGTCTTCCCTCCTCATATAATCTTTTACCCATCGTGGTCTTCGAATTCAAATATTCTTCTTCAGACTGTACATATCTTTGTTGGATCTTTCTCTCTTAATTTGCAGAAAACACTTCAATCGATGGCCTCCTGGTGGTGCCCAACATGCTTCTTAGCTTCTTTAAACCCAAAGGTATGATCGATCATTATCATCTACATATATATGTATATACCTGCACTTAGAAAGTTCCCTTCTGCTGCTATTTTTGTACTAGGTTTGCGATAGTCGTTTTAAAAACATCTTGATTTTTTGTTCTATGGAGTGGTTCTGATTCTCCGTTAGAAATTCTTGAGTGTATTAAAAGAAATTTCTTTGAATTTGCATTACTAAGTGCATGAGGGAATGATCATATTGGTGGATTGCTATATGAAAACTTTTAGTACCAATCTTTTTTACCTTTTATAATGTTAGTGTTAGAT